GGAAGTCAATTACATGTAGGGAAGGTATTAACACCCTATGACGCCTGAAAAATACAGTACCTTTAATTAATTACGCAAAATTATATAAATTTATAAATATTTAATTTACCCTAAAAATATATTTTGTCATGTTTTATATATAACCTTTATAGATAAAGAAAAAAAACCTTTTTTGCATTTTTATTTGAAACTTGCATAATAATTTAAGTTAACAAATAAATAAACGTTGAACGATCATAATAACGCTAAAGATAGAATTAACATTACTATTTTTTTTAAAATAATCTTTACACAAAAATTCAAGCTAACAAGTGGCTAGTCATTAAATTCTCGTAATCAAATAACGTTAAAGATAGAAATTTTTTCAATTAACGATATTATTTGTTGTATATTGAATACTTTCTAAACAATAAACTTGAAGACAACAAATCACATTCACTCTGTACATACAATTATTTTCAACAAATCAAAAAAAAGAAAAAAAAAGGTTAAGAAAAGAATATGATACCAAATGTGAGGCGAACAAATTGTTAAACTTGTTATCATGTTGAATCTTCAGATATGAGGGTCTATTAGGTGCTTTTTGGTTACCTTTCACACTACACAGATGCCTCACAGATCTCAAGAAATACAAAAAGAGAGAAAGAGAGAGGATTTTCAAGCTATAAGGAATCTTAGACCAATTTTTTCTCTGCCCCGAGAATAGTGCCCGAGTCTACTATTTATATATGTTAGACCTGACCAGAATGGCCCGTTCCGGATCGAAACGGCCCGTTCTAAATTATTCAGTTATGAGCTAAATTTGAACCTAGAATGGCCCGTTCTAAAGGCAGAATGGCCCGTTCTAGATTTGAACGTGTCCCATAACGAACTACACTAGAATGGCCCGTTTTGGCCCCTTCTCAATTAGGGTTTTAGGTATTTTTAGTAACTTGGAACGACCCGTTCCAATTTAGAAACGACCAGTTCCAATTTAGGAATGACCTGTTCCGACTTGGGAATGGCCCGTTCCGGTTTTGGAACAACCCGTTCTAGGCTACTAAAACCAACTTGTTTGGGCTTCAAGCTTCCTTGTTGTCATATGGTGTTGCCTCCATACTTTGGAAGCTCCTCCTCTTCATAGTAGACGTCCATTTCATTGCTTTTGTTGGTCCGGATAAAATTGGTTATTCACAATAATAGAGAAAAAAAAATGATGGAGTATTCCTTATCCACATTCAATTTTCTCTTAAATGAGGATGGTCACGCACAACATGTATTATAAATTTCATCCCGTGTGAACATATCATGCAAGCTCCACTTGAAGTTAAATTACTCTATAGGCAAGCCTCATTAATTTGAAGGGCATTATGTAGACCTTTCCAAAGAAAGAACTTCATCTTCCTTGATATAGACAACATTCAAAGATGTTCCCATTAAGAAGTTTTCGCACCTTGTCCCTCTGCGCATAATGATTGGAATCTCGTTGCTGCAGTATAACTATATGATAGGTCACCCATCCAATTAAATGTGTCAATCCCTATTAGATTCATAGGTATATGAACCTATAAAATGCGATTAGTCACCTTCTAAAGGAGTAATGTCTATAAACTGTTCAAGTTCCAAGAACCCTCATGCTAACATTGAACAACTTTGATCTCATAATAGCTAATGTGTACATAGAGAACTAGCTGACATAGTATCCCACTCCTAACCAATCTTCATACCAGAAAGAGGAACTTCCTAAACCAAGACAAGGAGCAAAACCATCCTTAAAAATGGTAATGCTTCAGGAATGCTTGTCCAAACACAGGATTATCTGTATTATTCTACCCTAACTAGCACTAAGTGACTTCTCAAATATCAATTTATCCCATAGGACCTGCACCAAGGCTTATGTGGTGAACTCAACAACTTCTATATCAACTTACCAAGAAGTGTTATGTTCACTAGCCATGATTCTTGTATGTTTAATCCACCACATGCAAGTAGTTGAGTGACCATGGACCATCCCATTAAAGACTAGAATCGAAAGTTGTAATCTTTCACCCACAATATCAACCGGCACACTTTGTTAATAATGTTGCAAATACATCGCGGGAACCACAAACACTGCATACCACAAGTAAGAATCGAGGTTAATATGGACTTGATGGGACATAACTTGCCAACTTTGTTGTAACCTTCCTTTCCAGCCGACTAATCTCCCATTCACAATCAATGACATGTTGAAAATCTCAAAACTTAGCCCTTCCCTGAATCATTGGCATACCCAAGTGCTTCCCCATGCAACGGTTATGGTGGATATTCAAAATTTGTTGAATTCTATTCTTAGGCTTTCCACCTTCTTAGACGCCATGAATTTAACTTGTCACAATTTACCTTCAAAGCGAATGTAACACAAAAGTCCTCCAAGGTTGAAGCTATCAGTTGCACTTGTTGTTATGTGGCACGACATAATAAGAAAATAACATTCACAAACAACAAATGAGACAAAGGTAAAACTCCTTGTTATATTTGAATAGCTTCGTAGGACCCTTCTTTATTTAGCTCATGGATGCAAAGAACAAGTCTCTATGCAAAGCACGAAAAGATACAGGGAGAGAGGATCTCCTTGTTTAAGACCCTGAGAAGGTTGAAAGGGTTGCAACTTTCCTCCATTCCAAAGTATTGATAATGCAAAGTTCTCAACTCCCCACATGATCAATTGGATGATACGAGTAGGAAAACCAAATCTATGTAGGGTAGTTTGAAGAAAATCCAAGCTCACTCTGTCATACGCCTTCTAAAGGTTAATTTTCAATGTCATAGTTCCCATAACAATTTTATCCATGGATATAAAATAAAGAGTCTCTTGTGCAAATATATAATTATCAAGTGTTCCTCTCCCTAGTATGAAACTTCCTTGGAAAGGTCCAATGATATCATGGAGGTAAGGACGTACTCATACCATTATCACTTTTGATATCACCTTATATGCCACATTACACAAACTGATTGGGCGTAAATCTTTAGGGTTAGATGGGTTGTCTATCTTTGGGATGAACATGATTAATGTTTCAAGAAGGGATTCATCTAGAAAGCCATGCAATAAAGCTTCACATACCGCCGTCCAAAGTTCGTCACCCACAATGTGCCATTATTGTTTATAAAAGAAAGGTTGAAATATGTTTGCCCAAGCACTTTAAAGGATTTCATGCTCATAACAACTTTTTCTAACCTCTTATTTAGATACTGAAGTCAGAAAGGGTGGCCACAACCTCTTATACCAAAAATTGGAGGAACACCTAGATGCATGTCCACAAAAACACCATGTGATTCCTTCCTAAAAAGTTCCCAATAGAAGTGAAAAGCTTTGTTGTTGAGGACATCAAAATCCATATGCCACGTGCCATTCGATAGTAACAAGCCCCAAATCTTTTTTCTTCTTCTCCAGGCAAGGATTTGAGCATGAAAATAACTAGTATTCCTATCACCAAACCTCAAACCTCTTCTCTTTAGACTTTTAAAATCACAAAAATTCTTCTTGCTATAAAACCTTAGAGAGTACCTTCCAATCGAGAAAGGATCTAAGACTCCCCTTTATCAAGCTCCAATTGGATCCCTCTTAACCTCGCATCTATTACCTTTTTTTGGGTCATAACGTTGTTAAATACACAAGTGTTAAACTCTAATACATCAATTTTGACAACTTTCAACCCATTAGCAATGTTAAGGGTGCTCCTAATCCAAGCCTCATGGACCACCTACTTAAACCCCTTATGTGTGGATTAAGCAATTTGGAAATGAAATGGACGGTCCCTTCGCTTATCTTTTAGACCACCACATTGCACAAGGATGGGGCAATGATCCGAAAAAACCTCTGCAAAAGCTTCTAGAAAGAGAGACTGCCATGATGTATCACAAACCACTATATCAAGCCTTTTAGCCATCAATACGCCTAGTTGCTTCTAATACCAGGTGTATCTAAAGGAACAATTATTCATAAGTTGAACCAATTGGGAGGCACGAGAAAGAGAGAATCGATACCCTTAGATCTCTAAGCTAGAGATGACCTCGTTGAAATCTTCTAATACGAGCCAAGGCACCACTAGCTGGCTTCTAAAACTCCTGATGTGATCTCACACCTTTGTTCTCTAACTGAAGTTAGGACTTGCATACACAATTGTGCACGCTCACTCCTTGCAACCCTACTTGATTAAAACTGTAGTTGTTTGAGAGAAAGAAAATAACTCAAGTGTTGATATTTAACTATCCTTCTCAACTAGGATCCATACGCCTCTAACATGACCTTTGACCTCCACACTATGATGCAACTTATAGTTCAGATTGATCCAAAATGAGGTGATTGATGATAATGAACAATGAGTTTTTGACACTGTGAAAATAAAAGGTTTGTGCAACTTAATCAACTCATGAACCTTTCTTTTCTCTTTCGTATTCAATACATCTCTAATATCCTAATAAATAATATTTTAGTTATTTAACAAAAAAAGTTATTAAAATGGTAATTGGAAGCTCTTCTCTTAAAAGCATGTCATCACGAGTTATATCCTCAATCTTGGATGTCCCTTCTGATCATTAAATATGTTTATTTCACATATTAAAATATTAATTTTTAAAAATAGTTAATTATAGGTTTTTTTTTAACATACTCTAATTAATTTTGAAATTATAAAACAGTAACTATTTAAGAAAAGAAAGATAAAAAACTTTTGAAATTCTAAAAAAATAATTATTTAAAAAAGAAAGATTAAAAATCCTACATAATTTGAGACGGAGAGAATAGAACCTATTCAATAACAATTATTATTGTTCATTAATATCCTTTAATAATTTAAAACAAAAATAAAAGCTATTCAAATTAATTACTGTAAATTGGGTCAAATCGGTTGAAAGATTAAAATAAAAAAATTGAGAAGATTAAATATGATTATTATGACGAATCTCCAGGCCGGTTATAAAATAAGAATAGACAGAGGCATTATTGGTTGTAAAATATACTAAGTTACTGTATTGGGGTGAAAACGGAGTGTACCGTTCCGTTAATATCCCGTTCTCTGTCCCACGCTTCAATTCTTTTAGGCCCAATTTTGTTTCTCGAACAAGGCTCGCTCTCTCGTACTTTCCCTTCTTCGCTTATTCGATTCTCGCTCTTTACCTTTCATCATCGGTAAGCCTTATCAATCTTTTTCTCTTTTCTTCTTCGCCTCTTCCTATTTTTCTAGGGTTTCCATTCCAATCCCCTCTTTTCTTTCTTCTTTCATCTCCCATCGCCATCGGATCTCACGCCTTCTTCAATTTTGAAATCTCGTCGATTCCTTGTGTGTTGTTGGGTTTAGGGTTCTATAAAACACGAATTTACGAAAAGTTGTTGCAAAGGGGGGATTAGGGTTTTCCCTTTGAATTCACGAATTTAGGTAGCTTGAGATATATGGCTGCTGGGAGACATGGCGGTTACCGCGAAAACGAGTTCAGAGAGCGCGAATCCAAATTGGAAGTGTCTAGACGCGGATTCGCGAACTCCAAGGAAGATTATGATCGTGTTAGGAATGGTGGCGGTGACGCTGTGAGAGGTGGGTCAAGGGATAGGGTTAGGGTGAGGCAGAGGGATATTAAGGAGAGGGAAGGTGTTAATGGTGGTTACCGTTCCTCTTCCAGTCGGAGTGACTCTGGCAGCAGTGGCCTCGGTCCTCGCCGGTGTGATTTCTCTGTCAAGACCATGGATAGAGAGCCTGGTGAGCTTTCCAGTGAGAGTGGTTCTGATGATGCTATTGAATCAGAGTTGGGGGTGAAAGATTCAGAGGTTGCCATCTTGGAAGAGAACAAGGCTCCATCACCTCCGGTGCCAGAGAGGAAGAGGAAATTTTCGCCCATAGTGTGGGATCAGGATGACAAGGAAGTCAACGAGTCATCCAAAGTTAGGGTTTCTGCCTCGGCGGTGGCGGCTCTTCCTCCTCCACCGCCGTTGCCGAAGGTGTTCCGCCAGTCGCAGTCTCCGAATACTCCG